AGACGTAACTCGGGGGGAGAAGAATTGTTATAGAAATTGTTATTTTTGTTTTCTTTGCGCTCAAAAAGTATTCTCGTAGCTTTGCAAAACTGAAGTTGAGCCACTGATGTCACATGGACTGTTTTACCGATGTCCTTACTATGTTTCTAGACCTGGGAACATTACAGTTGCGTTGCTGTCTATGCAGGGTCTGAGAGCTCTCACATTTCGTGTTCCGAAGATGAACGAAGGTCTTACGGGTTTGGAACAACACGAGGGTGAATAATTAATGACATAATTTTCATTTTGGGGTGAACTAACCCTTTAAGGTCAGTAAGATTTTTATTATTATTTTGAGAAATTAATACTTTGATTCAGGAAGGATGCACTAAATTGATGAAAAGTGACTGTAACGTTATTTTATGTTACAAAAGCAATGCAAGTTTTGGACATTGTTTAGATCTGACAAATGCACAAAGCATAATAACTATCCTTAAACAATAGCTTTATGCACATTACAGCATTTTAGTCTTTAGTGAGAGCGGCCTCATGGTGTCGATGTGGGAGTCGGATGAATAATTGACTATAATGAGGAGGGAGTAAAAGAGAGGGAATAGCAGGGTTGTGTTTCTGCGCTCTTTCAATGTTTTCATGTGTTGATTCTTAGGAGTATGTGTGCCAGGAGTAGAGTTGTGAGAGCACTGCCTTGTATGGGCAGATTGCATGTGAAGTAGATGTTTGTGTCATTTCTGACCGTTTTTCTTTGGTATTCCATCTCTCACCTTATCCTTTTCTAAGTATTTTTCTGTTATTGTCAGGTTAAATTTACAGATTATAACTTTCATGTAAAACAACAAGTTCTAGCCAATCGGTTAGAATAAGAATATTTGTTAAACGAAGGCCTGCCACTGGCTCTTATTACAAGAATGCAGGATGTGGCCAACTACAGCTGCATGGAAATAGCTGCATGTTTGTGACAGCTGGTTATGGCTCGGCCCTGAGGAACTAGAGGCCCTGTGCAGGAATTTGGGTTTGCAAAGCCTCTTTATATGTTCCTTCTAGCTTTATATCAGTTTCTCTCACACTTGTTTTCTAGAAACTGAATCTAGAATGTGGCATTTGCTTCGCGCCTGTGTGTGATGCTAGCTGTCACCTGCACATGTTTCTGAAGTGCTTAGTGGGAAGCCGTCACAATGCAGTACATCAAGCTACTACAGTAGGTGCAACATGACAGACACACTTTAAGGACGTCCCCGTGTGGAAAGTAGCTTTATAAAGGTATTATTTTAGATTTGATAAATCCAGGGGTTGAATGTAGGGGTTAGGAAAGCACACGTGTTTTAAAATGTCCTCGTGGCACCTTTATAATCCACTGTCTGTGTCTATGCATGTACATTACCTAATCCAAACAAATGATGGATTAAGATAATGGACAAGATGGGTATGAGGTTTAATGACCGTTAACTGATGGTGGAAAGGCAGAAAGGTTTCCTACTTTCATTGAAAACCTGGTAATGTTAAAGTCATGGAAATTTTTATAGTGAATATACATTTTTCTAGTTATGCTCTGCTGTACAATATCATATAAGATATTGCTTGCTCAAAAGCCATGGTAATTTCTGATTTGTGAGCAAATTGTTTAATTGAGTCAGTTTCAATAAATTGGATGAATTGGTTCACGCATCAGTCTGAAATTCATTGGCAGATCAGTTTGAATCAAAATGTTGAACAACTGGAAAGGCCTTGGAAAAGTCATGGAAATTTGTTGGTAGAAAAGTGTTATCTGAACTCTTTGAAATAAAGATTCTTTATTGGCATCTGTTGTTCCATAAAGAACCTTTGACATTCATGGAACCTTTCCATTCCACAAAAGGTTATTGATAGTAGAATAAGGTTCTTTGGTTTACTAAAATGTTCTTCACATTTAAAAAAAATAAATGGTTCTTTTATGGCATCACTGTAAACCCTCCTTTAGGAACCTCTATTTTTAAGAGTGTGGACAGTTTTGGTTTGAATAATAAAGCAGGTTTTTCATGAGCACCTGAATGTTCTCACAAGTGCTTTTGCTGTTAGTTTTCCCTGAAAGAGGCCTGTTTTATTATTTGAAGTGTATTGTTAAATGGAGATGTGTGTGTGATTGTAATCTTCAGTGATTTTTTTATTATTAAGCTGTTTGCATTAGCAGGCTTTACCCTTTTCTGCTGTCTTTGTGAACACAACAACTGCTTCATCCAGTCAAACCAGGACACACACACACACACACCCTACCACTTCATACACACAATTATTATAGCATATCTTATTCTTCCTTACCCTCCCCTTATTGTTTAGTTAGTTTGTCCTAATACTTAATCTCTTTTTTTCCTGGTTCTCTTTTATGCGTACCAGGGTTTTAGTTAACTGAAACTACAAATAAGACCTTTTTTCATTGCTTAAAAGAAAACAAATGTTAACTGAAATAAAATACAAAAAAAATCAACATTTTATTTCAGCTAGTTGCAAAGGCAACATTTCTCTTTTTCATTTAGTTTAACTTGATGTTCTAAAAATGTAAACTAAAACTGAAGTAAAAATGAATAAAAACCTATAGTTATATATAAAACAAATTATAAAAATGACAGAACAAAATTACTAAAACTTTAACCAAAATTTTATTGAAAACTGAAAATATGAGAATAAAAACTAATCCAAAATATTAATAAAACTGTAATATAATGATCCCAAAATAACACTGATGCACACTTTGCTCATGTGGAGAGTGACTAATGGATATTTATGGGAAACAGTCTGAACTGTGGATATAAAACAGCTGAACTCATAATTGTAGATTCATCTTATTTTCTTGTTTTTTGAGGATCTGTGCTGTGAAAGTTCTTACTGAAACTTTGTCTTCTGATTAAACTGGATCCTTTTTTTCTATATGTCCCCTTGTTGATCTGCACATCACCATGGAGACACATCAGCAGGGCTGCTGGGTAATTTTTGTCCTGTCGTGGGCAGAGTGATGACATCCCAATTCATCAACTTGCCCTGTAGGGTGACAAGGTTTCTAGAATGTGTGTCGTGCATCCTCTTTGTTTTCTGCCTTCTGAGGGACATTTCTGAAGGGCTTTCAACATTTTTATTCAGAGTTTCGTTGTTTGTTTTCCTCTTCTTGATTCTGTCACACATACTTGAGTCCACTCATTTCCTGGATGGTGCCACATTAAAATTTGATTTCTCCGCTTGCCTTGTCATTGTTACTTCATCCCACGATTTCCCCCTTTCTCGGTCTTAATTTGCTTTCCGCTTTGGTTGCTTGGGCTTGTTGTAGAGCCAGAACAATAGCTCAGCTGCTAGGGCCATCTGTGGCTACAGACAGGGAACAGATCTGATGTAGAGGAGGAGGGGAAGGAGAAGAAAGAGGGGGGTTGTGGTTAAGGAGAAAGGGAAGGGAAGGGGGGAAGAGAAAGATATGAGGATTCAGAATAAAGGAGAATTCTGAGAATTCCCCCCCCCTTCAGTCCCTGAAGGAAAAAAAAAATGACTTGCATAGTGCAGTCCTCCAGTGAAATGGTTATATTGAAATTCTTTTCTTTTAGAATTCTGCCGAATTTTAATTTGGGTTTATTTGTGAGACAAAGTTGTGGATTTGAATCTGTGTTATGTGAAAAAATATGTATATTGGGACAAGGGTGATTCTTTTCTAATGATGCCATCTCTGTTTACATTTGGCAGACATAGGAAATTACTAGTTTTTATGAACAGGTAGATGAAGTCCAGATAATGGCATCATATTTCTGTAGAGCAGGTGGTGGTGACTGTTCTGTGTAAATGATCCACACAAATAAATAAAATCATCTTAATATTTAGATTTTTATGGAGCCTAGTGTTCATTTCAGACTAATGTCTTGGAGACCTACTCAAGATACTAGCAAAAACACTTTTCTGCAGCACTCTCAAAATGTTAGTGTAAAAATGTAAATTTGTTTTTTACAGAACAAAAAAATAAAAATGCTACAGTAAAAACCTGTTAATTGGTTAACTGTAAAATTACCTAGCCTATATGGTGAAAAACTAAATAATGTCGTATTATATGTAATGCCACTAAAATAAAAAAATTATGGATTTTGCGATTAAAAACTATGAACTACTATGAATTGTAATTTATGGCGAAAAGCATTTATATATGAGTACTAGGGCTGCAGAATTAATCTAAATTAAATCGCAGTCGCGATTAGGCAAAAGCTGCGATTGTCATGCGCATTTTGTCAGGGAAGCACGGTTCTGTGATCAGCAGTAAATCTCCATCCGAAGGCCAGAGGGCGCTTTCGCGCGGAAACCCCAAATACTCCTCGCAGAAGAAACCCCAAATACTCCTTGCAGAAGAAACCCAGGAAATACCTATAGGCTACCGGTTGCTGAATAAACAGAAGATTTAACTGCTTTCATTAATTCAACGTGACTAATAAACACACTACTACGACAATATATGGTTTATCTGAGTTTGTTTTATTATAATAAAGAATATAATAATGCAATGCTAATCGAGCCTTTATCACATTTTGGAATACTATGAAATATGTTGCGTGCCTTATTCGGTGTAAGAAGCCACATCATCTCACAGAAGGATTTCTCAGGATTTCAGTTTGCTTAAACTAAACATGAACTTACCTGGGTAAAAACTGAAACCAGCTTTGTGCAACATGCCTCTCGACTTGATATTTTTGGATTTTGGTTCTTTTATTTCCTGTGTTTCCCAAGTTGCCCTTCATAGGAATGGTTCCCTTTAAAAAAATGCTGCTTCCTCTTGCAATGAATAGTTTTACTTTTAAACTCTCTCTCTTTCAGTTACATGGTTACTTAAAATTCTTTCATTCTGTTACACGCAGCATTTCTCTGCCAAACTGATTGTATTTATGTCTTTGTATGAGAAGCAACTGTTGCACTCCAACTTAGTAAAAATCAAGTTGCTTCAGGTGCATAGAGCCAAAAAAAGTCACTGCAAATAGCATTTAATTGTCTTTCCTGTTTTCTTGCAGGGCAGTTATTGAGTTATCCCTGGGTTCAGTGTATGAACAGCACTGAATCCAGCGAGCTTATCAAGCAGCAACAGATCGTCGGGTAATATTGGCAATGAAACCTGATGGGGCGGCCACAGCACCATCTGAACCAATGGAAGCCGATGGAACAGAACCCATAACCGAACCAACCGGGAATGACGGGGCATCTCAAAATGGCACTACACCATCACCCCCACAACCTGATGCACCCCAAAATGAGCAAGCAGCTCCTCCAACTGTAAAGGAAGCTTCTGAGAAAGCAGTAGATGCTAAAAGCAAATCCAAAGGCCCAGTCAAAGGCAAGATTGTTGCAGGTCCAGCTACCACTGGACCTGTCACACGACCCAAAGCAACCCAAAGCCGTGTGGCTAATGGCCTCACAAAGACTGCATCGAGTACCACAACCAAGAAACCCATTCCAGTTAGCACTGCTGCAGCAGACAAGAAGAAACCCACCACTACCGTTGGACTTTCTGGTCCAAGTAAGAAACCCGTTGGTTCTTCTACTGCCATTGCAACTTCAAGGGCCCAACCTAAAGCAGCAACTGTTGGAACTAGCAGATCAACGACAACCGCCGTAGCCAGTGGAACAAAGACAGGACTGGCTGCCAGCACAGCCACCAGCCTGAGTAAGAGGCCTGCCACAGCTGCCACTAGTGCTACAACCAAACCCAAAACCACAGGTAAGATGACCTGGCATGTATGGGTTTACGAGGTCACTTACAGAGTTTAGTTCTGGTACTTCTAAGATTGGATTTGGGCATGTACCAATAACTAAGCATCATTAGAAAATGTTCCATTTATTCTCATGTGCCAGATACAACACAAACCTGTTGTGGTGCAGGGCGTCATTATGTAAAATAGAAATGTAATTTTATTTAATTATAGTTCTTTTCATCGTGACTTTGCATTATATTTTACCAATATTTTCTTGAGCAATCCCAGTCAGTTTTTACTTTGGAACATGATTTATTTCAATTTCATTTTCTCAGCTCCTGCTCCAAGGCCAGCTGCTGCCCCTGCTGCCAAACCCAGCACTTCAGCCATAGCCAAAACCACTGCAGCTCCCAAAACTAACAGGTAAAGCAGCTTTTGGAGATTTAGATGGTAGTTTGAGCTTGGACATTTGACTGTATTTGAATGGAAAATTGGAATGCTGGGAAATGCACGATTGCACAACTTTTGATGTGGCTTTGTATCATCTGGGAAGTGCTTTGTGTTCTGCAAACTATTTAGTGGATATGCCCATACAAATATCAATGACGGCATGCTTTTTGCAGTGAATGGTCTCTGGTTTGTCTGGTGGTTATTGGCTCAAGTTTCTGTCCCTTTGTGTGTCAGACTCCCTGAAAGACTGCTTAGCTCTGTTGAGCCTATACTCTGGCGAAGCCTGATCTATTTTTGTTGATGCTACTCTCTGGGAATGATAATTGGTATCTTCACTTGAGTTAAATGGCTTTTATGACCCAAGTTGGCTACATTACCAATTATGTCTTTGTTGTCTTCAGTTTCTTGTTTGTTCCTTTCATATATTTTACTTAGCAGTTTTACTTTCAGTCTTTTAGAGATTTTAGTCATTTGATTCTGTTTTCTTGATCAGTTTTATTTCTTTCCCCATCTCCTTACCAATGTGAGTTCCTTCCCCAGCTTATTTAACAATACTATTTATTCTTTCTGTTTATGAAAAAAAAAGTGTATAACACAGTGAAACCATTTATGGTAAATTTGGTAAAATGCTATGGTAAGTTTTATATTAATATTTTATTATTATATTTAAATCTAAAAAATTAAAATATATAACGTTTTTAAAATAGTCATTACATTTTCTTAATGATGATCAGCTTTAAAGAAAATTAAAAATTAAAATTAACAAGTTGATTACTTTCATATCCAAGCTCTTCAGTTGTAAGTATTGTAAATGCAGTCAATCAGTGTGGATATGACTGGTCTTATTTGATTATTACGGTTTAATTATGAGCTTAATTCTATGTAGTTATGTGGATAAAGCAACCCTCTACGCACACCGTGGCAATATAATCGCCATTGGCTAGTAAATTATTTTGTTTACTCGCCAGACTGATATACTATTTTACACACACACACACACACACACACATGTTTACTTAGCTATCTAAATGGGGACATTACATAGACTTTGATTGTTTTTATATACAGATAGTTATACACTTTTTAACCTTAACCCACCCCTAACCCTACCCCTCACAGAAAACTTTCTGCGTTTTTACAATTTCAAAAGTAAAAAAAAAAACGGTTTACTTTATTTTTATAACAGTTTTACAAATGAGGACATCCACAAATTGAGCTTTTTGCCGATTTTGTCAGGTTTTGCTCACTTTTGTGTACAAATTTTCCCCCAAAATATGGTTAAGTACA